TTAACCCTCGCACATGTCACACACTCAGCCATATACTTTGCAACATCGAGCTTCATTATTGGCCACCAATAATAGGGTTTCAGATCCCTATATATTTTCATATTGCCGGGATGAATCGAGTACATGGTCTTGTGAGCTTCCTCCATCAAAGGATCTCTTAATCCTCCCATTTTAGGTACCCAAATCCTATCTTGGAATACCTTCATTAATTGACCGTTTATATCGAACACTAACGTATTGCCCAAACGTTCTTCTTTTCAGTCATTTTTCTCTAAAGCTTCTATCTGAGCTTTCTTGATGCTTTCTACAATTGTTGAGACAACTTCGAATCTTAATGCTCTTGGCCTTTTCTTTTCAAGACTCACTTTTTGCTTAAAGCATCGGCTACAACATTTACTTTACCAGGGTGGTAAAGTATTTCACATTCGTAACCCTTAAGCAACTCTAGCCAGTGTCGTTCTCTCATGTTCAATTCCTTCTAATTAAAGAGATACTAAAAAATCTTATGATTAGTGAAAATTTTGTAGTTTGGGCCATAAAGGTAATGCCTTCATATCTTTAAGGAGAATACTATTGCTGCCAACTCCAAATCATGAGTGGGGTAGTTCTTTTCATGTTCTTTCAGTAGTCTCAATGCATATGCTATAACCTTATCCCTTTGGGTCAGAACACAACCTAACCCAACTCCAGATGCATCACTATAAACTGCAAAGTCTTTAACTCCTTTGAGAAAAGAAAGAATCGGTGATTCACAAAATTTCTTCTTTAACTTCTCAAAGGCTTCCTTATGCTTCTCATTCTAAGTATAAGTAGCTCCTTTGTAGGTCAAATCTGTCAATGGAGAAGCTATCGAAAAAAGCCTTGGATAAATCTTCAGTAATATCCATCTAATCCTAGAAAGCTTAGGATCTCTGTAGGACTCTTTGGTTGTTCCCACTTTATTATAGCATCAATCTTAGCTGGGTCAACCATAATCCCTTCTCGGTTAACAACATGGCCCAAAAATTGGACTTCTTGAATCCAAAAATCACATTTGGAGAACTTTGCATACAACTTCTCTTTTTTCATAACTTCTAACACATATTGTAGATCCTTTTCATGCTCCTGCTTGCTTTTTGACTAAATCAAAATGTCATCTATGAACACTACAACAGATTTATCGAGTAATGGTTTGCAAACCCTATTCATCAAATCCATGAATGCTGATGGAGCATTGGTTAGTCCAAACGACATAACCAAGAACTCGTAGTGTGCATATATTGTTCTAAATGTAGTCTTGTCAATATTTTTCTCTCTCACCTTTAGCTGATGATATCCTGACCTAAAATCGATCTTCGAGAAATCGCTCTAACCTTGCAGCTGATCGAGCATGTCATCAATTCTTGGTAATGGGTACTTTTTATTTACTGTTGCCTTGTTCAATTCTCTCTGTAATGTATGCACATTCTCATGCTCCCATCTTTCTTCTTTAGGAATAACACCGATGCTCCCCAGGGTGATTAACTAGGTCTAATGAAACCGTTGTCCAACAACTCCTGAATTTGCATCATAAGCTCCCTCATCTCTGTTGGTGCTAATCGATATGGTGCTTTTGCTATTGGTGTTGTTCATGGTAACAAGTCTATTCTAAACTCCACTTGTCTATCAGGGGTCAATCTAGGAAGATTTCGGGAAAAACTTCCGGATAGTCACACCACTGGTATGTTGTGCATTTCCTTCTTCTCCTTCTTAGCGTCAATCAAGAATGCCAAGTATGAGGTGCATCATTTAGAAAAACATTTTTTAGCCTTCATCAGGGAAATGATTCCAGAATTCACTCTACGCTTGTCTCTGTACACCACAAATGACTCTTTTCCAGGCGGGTTTACCATCGTTATCTTTTTCTTGCACATTACTTCAACATCATTGGCGCTAAGCCAATCCATCCCCAGAACGATGTGGAAACCATTCAACTCAATGGGTAACAGCTCCTTGTGGAATTCATTTCCGTTCAAGTTGATGCCTATATTCTTAATACAATCTCTAATAGGTATGAATTTGCCACTACCAACTTCTACAATTAGGGCATCATCAAGTTTTGCTATAGGCAATGCTACTCTTCCACCAAATATATGTGATATAAAGGAGTAATTCGCTCCGGAATCAAACAATAAATTGGCAGGCAATCCATTTACAAGAAAAGTACCTGAAGCAACATCCACAACATCCTTTGCTACTTCTAATGTCATTTGGAAAGCTCTGGTTTTTGGCTTTGGTGGGAGATTGGGCCTTGATGCCTCATTCTTCTTCAGACAGTCCTTCAAAATGTGTCTTCTTCATTGTACCCATAACAGACTTTCTTAATGAAGGTGCATTCATTGGTATAATGCTCAGGCTTTCCACATTTGTAACAAGTGACTTTTCCGTCACATTTCCCAGAGTGATTCTTCTTGCACTTCTCACACCACTTCGCTTTGGCTCATCCTCCAAATTTCCTCGAACTGGACTTTGAGAACTTGCTCTTCTTTTTGGATCTCGAAGATCCACCAATTTTCCTTTTCTCTCCAACCTTTTCCCTCTCTTGACCCCTATATTTTAACTGGGTCTCAATATTCTTGGCTGCTCTAACGGCTGCGTTCAACGTGCTTGCCATTTTGACTGTTGGGCTAAAATCTGATGACAATCTGTAAGCAAAATTTTCAATCTTGGCGAGTTAGTTGGCACCAAGTATGGAAACAACTTCATCTTTTCCTAAAAGCAGTAGCGTAGTCATTTATGCTCATTTTTCCTTTCTTCAAGTTCTGGAACTCATTATTTAGGTTTGTGAGATCTGTTTAAGAGCAGTATTGTATTTTCAACTGCTCTAAGAACGCCTCCCATGACATATTCAGGGCTTCTCCATGTGGCATCGAGTTTTCCAATAATTTCCACCAGCTTAAAATTCTGGTCTTCAGTTGTCTGACCGCAAAAATAGTTTTCTGCTTGTCGCTATAGTTGCAGCTTTCAATTACCATCTCCATTTCAGAGATCCAGTCCATAATCTCTATTGGTTTCGGGCTTCTAGAAAGACTTGTCGGTTTAGCGCCCAATAAATTCTTATACATACGCCCATCTCTGTTGATTTCCCTCTCTGGGTTATTCCTTTCTGCCACAGTTAGTTCTGCTTGACTGATAGTACGACCAAAATTTCCTTCTTCCGACTGCCCATCATTTAGCTCCGGTTGTTCAACAGGTATTGAAGGTTCACTCCTGTTGTTCCGTAGCAATTTTCTCATATTCTCCCTTTGTTCAGCCATCATGGCTTGAATCATGGCTTGCACTCCATCCATTGTGAATGGTCCTGGTGCAGCATCTGCTATAGGCACCTATTCCATCACTTGGGGTTGAGGTTGCTGATTTCTATTTACATTTCCAGCTCCACTTTGGGTTTTCGCCATTGTGATCTATACACCAAATTAGGCGAATTTAGATCGTCATTCACAATAGATATTAAAATTCTCCTTATCACTCCGAAACGTTACATCCTAGTTCTAATATCGTAGTCAAATGCTTAGAATCCTGAACACATAAAGTTTCCAGATCCGGTCGGCAATAGACCATAGATCCGAACAATTAATGGCATATATGACAAACATATAGCATTTATCACATAAAATCATTTTAGGCATCTTTCCTAAAATATACTAGTGCTCATGTCTAAACTATGGTAGACACTCATCTTACGATCATCACTTAGTATTCTAAGTTTAAGTCTAGAAATCCAACAAATTCCTAATTCGCTTAAACTAATGCTCTGATACCAACTGTGACATCCCTAGTTTCTCGACCAAAAAAGACCACTACTAGAAAAATAGCCTTTTACGACGTGCGAACCATGACACGCGGTGATTTGTGATATGCAAAGGTGAGTGTCTAAAAAATAATGTCATCTCTTCCAAAATTTAAAGGATTTCAGACGCGCATTTTTGCATGCCCTAAAATTAGTGTCTAAACAAAAAAAATAAAAACACGGAGGGCACCTGCGTGTCGTCTACGACTATCGCTTTATAAATTTTAATAGAACGCGCGCGCTCCATCCGGGGAAAATGAAATCCCAAAAACTTAAAATCCCCGCCTTCCTTTTTTTTTCTCCCTCCACTTTAATTTCCCTAGTAGCTAGGGCTTTTTTCAAGAACTTGCCCTGATTATGCCCTCCTGTAATGCTCGTTCTCTCTTCAACTTCCCTTTCTCTCCTTCTCACTTTGACAAACCCTTTCTCTTCTTCTCAGTTCTCGACGTCGACAGCTTCTCCCATCTCCGACGTTTCTCTTGGTGTTGGCGCCTCCCACCTTTGACCTCCGTCTAGCCGCGCCCCACCGTCCAACGCTTTCCAGCGTCACCCAGCTGATGGAGCCCCTCATCTCCGGCAATCTCACCTCGCCTGCCCTTTCCAGCAACATTAGGTCCGGTGACCTTAGGGTCATTGCTTTTATTACTCAAATTTACAAGCCCTATGTCTTATTAAGGTATGTTTTTCTTGATTCGAACTTCTCAATGTTTTCGTTCTTCTATAAGAACCCTAGCTTTGCTAAATCTCTTTTTCTTTCCGGCTTAATTTCTCTCTATTTCATTTACGATCGAAGGAACAAACTTCCGATATTTGGTGAAACTAACAATCGATGATGTGTGATTAGGTGAAATAATCGACTAGGGTTAACTAGGAACAAAGACACATGGAAACGGGAAAAGGGATGAAAAAGAAACACACAATATGTTTGATTAGGTGAAATCATCGGTTTTGGCAATTTTCTTGCCATCATTGGTACTACCGGAAAGCTTAGTTGGCAGGAGGAGTCGCTTCACTTTGGCTAATGCAGATACAGCAGTCTCTGCAGCATCAATGGAAGATGATGTTTTGGCTAATTTGATCAGAGGCTTTACATCCCCTTCTACAATATAAGAGATTTTGTTCTTGGACAAAGCACCCAAGGCCCGAGCTGATTGAGTGGCAATAATTTGAGTGTTGCTTGTTAAAAGCTTCATCAAGGATGCACAACCTCATCAGTTGCAAGACTATCACATATATCTTGACGAATGCTGAAGAGATCAGCCAAGACAGAAGCTACATGTTCCAGTGTTTCCTCATTTGAAGAATTAAGAATCCGAACAAGCGATCTCAACCCTTTATAAGCATCTGATCCTTTTTGAACAAGGTCATAATGTGATGCCATGGTAAACACATGACCTAGTACTTCAATTTTGTGGGCTTTTGATTTTGGGGTGTCCCCCCAAAGCAGAGCTAGTAGCTGATTAATAGTGACAGCATCTGCCATGCGTATAAGCTTTCTTAGTGCCTTCCCTGAGGCTTCTTGTCCCTTTGTTCCACCAGTTTTCAAGAACCATAGGAAAATAGGAATTGCTTCAGCACTTTCAACACATGCATAGATATCTTCACTGTGACAGCATAATTTCCACATAACATAAGCTGCATCCTCCCTCCCTTTATCAGATCCAGTTTCTAGTTTCTAATACTAATATACGTTTCTCAAATTGAAGTATTTGTTGTTCATGATGAATTACTTCACATTATTAACGCGTTTAGCTTGCAATCACCTATATATCTATTGACATTATTGATGATGAGATGGGGGCATTCATGTCTTTTTTGTACACAACAAGTTGCAAGTATTGTCCCATTGATTCTTTTCTAGATGTTTAATAGAACTCTGTATACGAGCACATCAAGATGCAGTGCTTTCTTTGACTTCTTCGCCCGTTTCCTTTCTTCTCACGCCATCTCATACCCATCTTCAGCTACTAACAAACTACACCCACGACCTTTCTTTCTCTAAACAAAAATCTCCCAGCCTTACTCTACAAGCTCTCTTTCTCTATATCTCTCTCTAAACCTAACACTCCTCAACCATCTTCCCATGATTACTAAGAAACAACACAAAGAATGAACCGATTCAATACTTTCAGTCATATTCTTTACAAAAGAACCTCAAATTTTACATGAACTTGGTTTTAATAGTTTCATTCACACCATAATCAGTGTTTAGAAAGGAAAGATGAACTGATTAAGAATACAGAAAAAGTGATGTCTCCTACCAGGGTCCAACCCTTGAGATCGAGGGAGTTCTTTGGGGAAATCACGTATAATCAATGCCTAAGGAATTCGTCGTCAATGACAGCTGGAAAACGACAATGGTGGTGAAAGATTAGGAGTTTGAGAATCGCTTTCATTATCTTCAAAGATTTCGTTAGTCGTCTTTTCTCATTTTTATTTCTCATCTCAAAAATCTATGTTTGTATGTTTATTTTAGGGTTTTATTTTGCGTGTTATTCAGCCCCACTCTTGCTCTTTATCCACTCAGGTAAGCTACAGTTTTATTGCAAAAACTGCTATGTGTTTTGTACGTGAGGGCCCAATACACCAGGCCCATGGGCCCCTCCCCAAATTACCTGTTTTGAAAGGGAATTAACTGTTGTGAAAGATGAGATTCATATATTAGGGTAAATCATCCCCTCATTACATGCTGAAAAAGATGCAAGAGCCTTTGTGTTGGTTGTTATCTTTTCCTGTAAAATTAAGACAACTCTTTTTCAATCTTACACTTTAGAAGCTTAAGTACAATAGACATGAGGTAAAATTGACATAAGCATATATATATATATATATATATATATATATATATATATATATATATATATATATATATATATATATATATTCCTTTGTGTTGGTTGTTATCTTTTCCTGTAATGAAGTTGTTTGTTTTTTGTTTGGAAAATATTGGTTTTAGAAATATAATTATTTTTCCTGTTCTATGACGTATAAGTACACCCATACTAAAATAATATTAATATTTTTTTTATTGTTGTTTAAAAAGCCGTAGGAGAGGTTTTAAATGGGATGAAGCCAACCTTGGTGAAATTGAAGCAAATAAACATGTAAGACAGAAAATCACAGAACCCAAAACTCCATATCATCCTATGATGAATGATACTGATGGTATTATACATATCCTACATTCCATTAAATTTAAATTAATTATTAATTTGTTATGTAAATTAATTCAAGTGTTGTTGACTTGTTGTAGGATCTTTATCTCCTATTGGGGGCTCTGATAGTTTCCTTGAAGGAGATGATAACAGCAACATCAGACTGAATGCTGATGCAATTCGTTTAGCACTGAATGAGATGGCATCTTCTAGTAGCAACAGTAACTCCCATTCTGGATGGACATCTTCAGATGATCAAGATGAAGCAGATGTCATGGATCATGATCTAGGTTCTTCCTACTTCCTTCATCTTCACCCTTTTGCTTTTCTTTTATTCAAAAAAAAATTAAAATTAAACTGATGATATGATGAGGGTTCAGATGATGAAGGTGGGAAGAGTGCAAGAAGCTTTAGGGAGAAAAGAAAGGCGCACTATGATGAATATCGCAAAGTGAAAGAGTTACAGAAGAAGGAATCAATGAAAAAGGATGATGAAAAGCAATCCATTGTTGATGGTGTGGGAGATATAAATATCAGTATGCACTACAAAAGATAAGGACACGCAAACATGTTCTTTATTTCTCATCTTATTGGATTTATTTATAAAATCATTATTAAGTTATCTAATGAGCTTATTTTGTACATCAGAATGCAATTCACATATGAAATTCGAGAGGGTAGGAGAAAACGGGTTCTCTCGGTTGCAGGGAGTTTGGATGTTGCGGGAGATTGTGATCTCGATTGTGATGAAGATACTAACAGCTCTGTGTTTCCCTTACGTGTTGTCATGAGGGGTATTTATGGTATTTTGTTACCTGTTGGTGGTGAACTCGGGTGTTTACAAGTTTGCATGGGTGGGGTGTATGACTTTTAGTATGGTAATCGGTAAAAGGTAAAAGGTAAAAGTGAGTTGGCATTATATCATATCATATTATCATATATTGATATGTTATCATATATGAGTGGCTATTTGATCAATGTCAGTTGACACAAATATATAAAAGTGGGCTCACTCTATTATGATCTTTTTTACTCAATTGTCACATTACATTTGTCCCAAAGTGAGTAGGCTTCAACAAATATTAATTCTTGTTTTTGTTTTATATTTGGGACAATGTTATTAAATATTATTTGTATTTTTGTATTCCCATGTTATTAGGTCCAAACCATGGATATTTGAATTTGTTGATTTTGGAGGTGAAATGAGACGAGATATATTTGCGTGTTTTCCAATCGGGTGACACTGAATTGGGTTTGTCATCAAAGTAAGGTTTGATTTAATCTCTTCAATCCTTAACACATTGATATGTCATATGTTAAAGTTGACTCAATCAGTTCGTGTTTTTGTTGTAAATTGTAAATTGTAATTCAGGGGATTCTTGGTCCATGTGCATCACTTGAGAAGGTTCATATAGTATTTTAAATAATGTTGACTCTTTGTTGACTTATTGTTGTTTTTTGTGCAGAAAAGTGCTTTATGTTCTGATACTAGTATTGGTCAAGGGGGTACTATTACATGGAAGGTGCTTCAATGCACACTTGCTTACTCCATTGTACACAAACTAAGGAAATAGGAAAACACACAATGGAAATTGGAAAGCGAATGAAAATGACAAGTGATTTTATGTTGTGTTCATAGGGTTGATGAAAGCGAATAGCTCTCGAGTTAGAAGTGGAAAAGAAAGCTCAAGCCGAAAGAGATAAGATGCTGAAAATGCAAGTGTTGTATTCTTCATTTCAATTGTTAGTATGAAACATAGAGTAGATTAGATGAATGCAAATTTATATATTATAAGATTTAGAATTGTATGACATTAAAGTTTATTCAATGCATTGTATTTTTTTGTATATGGTATTTTATTTCTATTATGATACATTAAATGCAAATTTAATTTAAAAATTAATAAATATATAAATATATATATTTTTAAATATTTAAATTTACGATACGCAAAAATGTGTGTCATCTTCATTTATGACATGGCCTTTCTTGACAGGGGCTTTCTTGATACGCATTGCGTGTCATTAACACGCGCGTCATAAGGTTACGACACGCGAATGCGTGTCGTCTTCATTTATGACAAGGCCTTCCTTGATACGCATTGCGTGTCGTAAACGCGCGTCGTAATTGCGCGTTGTAAATGAGCGTCGTAAATGCGCGTCGTCTCTCTTTATGACAGGGCCTTCCTTGACGCGCATTTGCGCGTCGTCTGAGCCTTTTACGACGCGCAATGAGCGTCGTAAAAGGCTGTTTTTCTAGTAGTGGACCGATTTAGTTTATACTTTTAAAATAAAATCAGGGTAATCTCTCCAAATAAAAATATGTGGAATTTGTCCACAAAACAAAATATGATAAAAATATTTATCAAAGCATTTCTTAAAGAAATGTATATTGCATTTCATTACAAAAACTCAGGATGTCCACATCGAGACAGACAAAAAGCATAAATAGTATATTATATACTTTACAACAGTTATTTACATCTACTGGCCAATAATCCAAAAATCCCTCATCATCATCCAACAATGCTTTGGGTCCACTACCTATAATATAAAAAGCTGAGTGGGTCAGGCTTGTGATCCTGGTGAGCATATAGGGTTTTCAACCCACAATAAAGAAATTTATTAATTTCATCAACCAACAATAAATTTATTAATTTCATCAACCAACAATATCCTTGATTACTCATTCCCGTTATCAACACTTTACGTCCCTAAACATCTAACATAAGGGACCTAGCCTATGGATTATCATCGGGATGAACTTTACTGCTAAGGGGATTCCTCAGCCATATATATCTGTAAGGCAACCATGAGGGGGATGGAGTATACCAGCGAACATATAGTTCACCAACACCTACATGTTGCGAACCTGCTAGCATTCCACTGAACTGTCTAGAAAGGTATGTTGTCGTCATCTATACTCCGCTAGATGACTACTACTACTACAACAACAACATCGAGGCCTCTCATCATTTTTAACACACATTCTGGACCGTAAACACAATAATACGTTGGGCGTACATACCTTGTACGTTGGGCGTACATATTTATATGCTAAGTGTACCACTTGGTATGCTGGGCGTTCTTCCAGCCTCGAAGTTTGTGCCTAAAACTTCCAAAATTCATATCTATCTCATATGGGCTTCGTTTTTAATGTTCTTTATATCCACACATAGGTGAAATTATCCTCTACAACCTTCATTTAGACTCCATCAACTAATTTTTACTTTATTTTTAAATTTATATTTTAATAGGCCGGGACAGGAAAAGTCTGTTAAAAATTCATAACTTCTTCATCCGATGTCCGTTTTCGTCTATCTTTTTACCGTTAAAATATTATCAACAAGATCTTTGATTCTCCTATAGGTTGTGTCAGCTAAAAATCACTCAATCAAAAATTCGAGTTTCAGGTTGCATACTACTATACCAAATCTTAAAAAATTCATAACTTCCTCATACGAAGTCAGATTTGGACATTCTTGTTATGCACACTATCGGTTTAACGTATACTACAACTTTCATTTAAATCGCTAATGCTAAAAAGCACTTTATGGTAAATTCACATTTTATGTCACACAGCGTCATGCCGGTTCTATCGCGAAACTTCAACATGTCATAAATTCTTTGTTATAACTTGGATTTCGGTATTCTTTATATCTCTGGAATCCTTGTTTCAACCACTACAAATTTCTTCATATATATCGGGTTTATCTAACATTTATTTTCGATGCTTATTTTTATCCTTAATTAATTAAATCATAATAATTAAGTATAAACACATAATACTCAAATAATACATCTTTATTATTTCAAAACAAGTTACAAAGGTTGGCCTAGACTATTACATCATCAATAATGCCTAGTCTAGAAACACGAGCGTTACAGATAATGATCACCTACCTTGATATGTTTTATTTATTTTAATATGATATTACAAAGATGATGAAGATAATACGAGTACAAATGTAAGGTTTGAGCTAAACATGTGTGTGGTGTGATAAGTACATGTGTTATTTATAGTCTAAGCTAATCGACAAGAAGTCTAAGATTTATGGGATCCTCCTTAAACAACTATTTGCACATTATATGACTTGGTATTCCAGGTCTTAAGCTTGGTTGAAGTAACTCTCCGTTGAGAAAAAAGTCTTGTGTGGACTAATTCTGCACATGTGAGAAAATAAAGAAAAATATAGACGCTATAAGTTTTAGGAAATATTAGTGGTAATAATCAGGATCCTGGAATATTTTTAAGGATGTTAAGGCTTTAAAAATATTTAGGATCCTGAATATTATTCAAGGATCCTCCCCTAACAATAACCATGATCAACCTGATGTCTTGTGAACCCACTCCTCTTCATGAATTTATCAAGATTTAAATACCATATCTTAGAATTTTTTTTCATCCCATATAGGTTTTCCTTTTGCTTGAACACTAGCTTTTTATTACCAGCTGTAAGGCACTTTTTGGTTGTGCGTTCCAAATGTCTGCTTCTAGGTTATCATCAAGGAGATCAGTTGTATTCACATCTAGGTGCTCTAGATGGAGATTTTCATAGGACACTGCATTCAACATAGAAGTGACTGTAGCCATCTTCGCAACTGGAGAATCATCCTCTCTCTTCTGTTGGATTCCCTTGACCACAAATCTTCCCTTGCAATTTTTACCGCTATCTATCTCATCCTTAACCTAAAATATATGATTGTTTTGTAGTTCGCTCAATTCATCATCCATAGTCTTCTCCCACTGTATGGAGTTCATCCTCAAGGCCTTTGGTAACCCATTCTCACACATGAACAATCTATTGGTTGATGGATAATGATTTTCTAGAGTACTTTACTTAGATTTCCTCTGGATAATAGGAGGTTTGACCTTTTAAACACCTCCTCTCCAACCTCATAACTATTATCCCTAGAGCCCCCACTCTTTCTAGATTTATCAGATCTCCCACTACTTCTTGAACATCTACCTATCCTTTGACTAGCAATAGGTCTTGCATGATTACGGGATCCTGCCACTGAAGAAACTAAAATGGGACTATAAGCACCATAATCAACTGAACTGACGTCCCAAACATAGGCGGATTGCCTATCTTCGCAAAACTGAGTTTCTTATGTCTGCCAATAGAACATGGCTTAGAAGCATCTGTCACAATCTTTGAATTTAGCATCCTCCCAGTAGATACAAGCTTCATCATTCCCTCCGTACTCATATGAACAAATATTTAGTAGCATCGAATGGATATCCCAACTCCTTCAATAATGCTTGCTTCATCTTCAGAAACCTCCACCGTATGTAGTGTACCGTGTTTCTGACCCTTAGCAACAATAAAATTTCCCTTCTTCACTTTCTACTTGTGATAACCAAATATAACATGATGGCCTTCATTATCAAGTTGACCAACTGATATCAACACCCTCTTTAGATCTGGAATGAACTTGAGATTCTTCAAGGTCCAATTTGTACTCAAATTCATCTTGAGAACCACATCTCCGACACCTATGATATCTAGACACTTATTAACTGCTATTTTGACCTTCCATTGGCAATGCCTGATGTTATGCATCATATCTCTAGAATGACTAGCGTGAAATGATGCACCAGAATCTAAGACCCAAGATTCTCTTAAGTTTTCAACTAAACTAATGAGCACGTCAACTTCAAAATCTTCTTCCATATTTATCTCTTTTTGGAATTTATCTGCCATGAGCTTTAGGAACTAACTTTTGAAATGACCTTTCTATTTGCGGTTCTAATAGGTAACGTCCATCTTGTTGTTTTGTCCACTTC